CTTCCCGGGGAAGGGGGGGGGGTCCCGGGTTTATACGCCGCCCTCCAGGGGAATCCCCAAGCCCAAAAAGGCCTCAAGACTGGCCAAGAGTGCTCCAAGAGGCCCCCAATATGATCCAAGAGGGCGCCGAATCGCCGCATCATCTGTCCAAGACGCCCCAAAAGGCCTGCGAGACGGCCCAAAAGGCCTCCAGGACCCTTCCCACGAGAGCCCCAAGAGGCACAGATCATGGATTTCCCATGCGTTTTTCAAGGATTTTGGCGTTCTCGCCTCTTCCGCTTCCCCACGCGCCAAGACGGCCCAAGAGGCTCCCAAGATCGCCCTGACACGGCCCAAGAGGCCTCCAAGAGGGTCCCCAAACGGCCCAAGATTGCCCCAAGACGGCCCAAGACGCTTCCCAGATTCACAAAAGGCCCCCAAAACGGTTCCAAGAGAGCGCAATCTTCGACGCCTCCTGGGCCGTTACAGAGCCCTGGGCAGCCGAAAAGACAACAACTCGAAATACCTTGAAAATGCAACGAACGAACGCACGACGTATGCCTCTTCGGGGCCTGTGGAGAAGCCTCTCGGAAGGCTCTTGGGGCATCTTCGAGACCTCCTGGCTTGTTTTGGAGCCATCCTAGACAGTATTGCGGGACTCTTGAACCATCGTGAAGCCAACTGAAGCCGTCTTCGAGCCCTCTTGGGCCGTCTTCGAGCCCTCTTGGACCTCTCTTAGGGCCGTCCTCGAAATATCTTGGGCCGTCTCCGGCGCCTCATCAAACGAAAAACGCCGCCCAAATGACCACGGGAGAGCGTCTTCTAAGTTTGCACCCCCCACGCCTCGTCCACCCCCCCCAGACTCCCCCACACATTTGGGCAAACGCCTTGAGCAGAAATCCTCTCGCTAGCGCTCTTTCCATCATGCTCGTCTGGTTTACACACATATTTTCGTGTTTTTTCTTAGGCCGACCACCCTCCCCCTCGTCGGCAATGCGCATCTCCCACTCTGAGCACTCTTCCTGTTGCGTTGTTATTTCTCCCCAGTGACAGAACGCTGTCTCCAGGGTCGGCGGCATCGGCCGTAAGGCCTTCGCAATTATTTCTGGGATGTGGTCCTTAAGTACGATGGGAGCAACATAATCCTTGGGGTCGGTCGCGTCAGCCTGTGGGTGCTGTGCGAAGGCAACCACATCGTGGGCTCTCCGCCTCCGCTCACGCGCGCGGCGTGCAGTCGGGCTGGGACTCTCGGAGCGCGCTCTCCGCGCAGCAGCTCGAGGCGCTCACAGGCTACCTGGAACTGGGGCCAGCGTTAGGTCGGGCCTGCCCTTCTAAAGGGGGATTTTGGACGACAAATAAAACATATGCAAAACATACCCGCAAATGGTCAAAGCATACCAAAAGCATCGTCCCCCGACCATTTTTTGACTATTTTGAATATTCCCCCTGTAGAGGGACAGGCCCGAGTTAACCATAGGCTACTGGAACTGGGGCCAGCGGCATGAGACATGCTCATCCAGGCAGGCCCCGAGGTCTCCCAGCTCGCCAACGGGACTACTCCAGATTTCGCCATAAAAGGGAGGGGGTCACAACCCTCACAGACGGGCAATTCCAGACCCCCCCCAAACAAGCCATGAAGGGCGGCTTTTTGCCCAGACCCACTGGAACCCTCCAAGGCAGCTCAAATCTGACCCCATCCCAAATCAGACACCCCCCCTTTTATTGTGAAATCTGGAGTCTCCCCCTGGGGGCCGTGGACACATGAGAACACGTGTCACGCGCGCACGCGCCAGGCGCATGTTGTGTCCCCCCCCTCCGCGCACGTAGTTGTCACGTGTAGAGGATCCGGGAAACAGAAGTCGTAGAAGTTGGATCCCTTTGGGGAGCCCGTTGCGGGGAGCCTCCTTTTGGGGAGCCCTTTTGTTGTGAAATCTGGATGAGGATGAGGATGATGATGGTGATGATGATGCTGATGATGATGGTAATGATGATGATGATGATGATGATGATGATGATGATGATGATGAGGAGGAGGAGGAGGAGGAGGAGGAGGAGGAGGAGGAGGAGGAGGAGGAGGAGGAGGAGGAGGATGAGAATATCCACCAATCCTCCCAGAAGGCCGCCAGGAAGGTGACCGCGATCGAAGGCGGGCAGCAGCCCCCACAGGGGCAGGTCGGAGGACGAGCTCCCGCTCGCAGCGGCAGACCCCCTACGGCGCCGTCGGTGGCCTCCAATACCCATCGGTCGGAAGAAGTAGGTAGAAACATGAAGTAGGACGGCGTTGGAAATATATTGGGTTTCCGCACGCCTCCTGAAGAGGAAGGAAGAGGGACAACCACTCGACTCTTGAGGTAGGAGGGCGCTGAAAGTAGGTTGTAATCTGGGAATCCAGAAATACCTACTTTCAACGACCGATGGGTACTTACAGTCGGGGCCTTGACCTAAGGAACCCCAAATAAGGAACGAGGCCCCTTTTTTCCATAAGTTAAGCTTCGATTTCCGATCGAGAACGTAAGGAGAACCTGAGGCAAGCTGTGAACACACTCAAGGAACACGGAGCCCCTTCCCCACGAAAAGGGTTCCTTCTTCAGGGCCCCGACTGTACGGCGCCATCGGTGGCCTCCAATATTTAGCCAGCCAAGGCATGGGGCTCATCGAAGCCGACACGAACATCACGGCCTCTTCCGTGTACGCGGCGACCTGCGGCGCCGTGCAGCCGATTCGCAAGATCATCAGGACGGCACGCGAGGTGGCCACCATCGTGATGACCTGCCGCTCGATCTGAGACCTGGTCGTCATGCCTTTCCACGACGCAGCCTGGGCAGTGCGACGTGATGGGAAGCTTCAGGGATCAGGGAAGCTTCATCCTGGCCATGGCCGAGAGCGAATCTTGGACAGTGAGACAGCCCATGTCTCTCCGTTGCTGATGGTATGAAGGAGTGCTACGTACGGCGAGATCGAGCCTGGGCTGTGAAATACAACATTGCTGGCGAAGAAAGAACACTTATGCATCTGGTCTCCCTTGAGCTCCTGCAAGGGTCCGTCAACGCGCGACCGGTGGCCGCACAGCTAGAGAAGACGAGCGCTACCATAGTGACCGACTGCAAAGGCCTCTACGACGAACTGGTGTCCAGGAGGAGGAGGAGGAGGAGGAGGAGGAGGAGGAGGAGGAGGAGGAGGAGGAGGAGGAGGGGTGCTGGACTGGGAGCTGATGGTCACAGGCGCGGCATCGAGGCTCTGGGTCTACGTCAGAGTATGGCTTCCAGCAAGACCACACTGCGACGGATGCACTCTGCAGCCATGCCAGGAGGAGGAAGAGGAGGAGGACGAGGAGGAGGAGGAGGAGGAAGAGGATGAGGATGAGGATGAGGAGGAGGAGGAGGACGGTCTGACCCGGACATGCAGAAACTCGTGGCTTGCTGATTACCTTCCTGTCCCGTGGCTACGGGAGGCTCGTGCATGACGAGTCGTTCATCTCGGCCAAGAAGCTCATCGTCTGGGGGCGACGTGACATTCTCGACGACGGGGTCATCTTAGGCTGCAATCCCGTAACCTGTCCCAAGGACGAAATTGAGGACTACGAATACTGAGGCTTGACCTGCGAAGACTTCGAAAAGTACCTGCACACGGAGATTGAGCAGTTCGGTGACCTCCGCGTCTAAAGGATGCGGCGTTCCACAGCTTACATCTTGCTTAGCTCCCTTTCTCCTCCTCCTCTCCTTCTCTTTGTGCCGCAGTTATTTCACATTCAAGCTGCGGTCGTGCTGGACAAAACGCATCCTTCATCGAAACAGCGCTGAGTCTGGACAGTGGCAGGCCACACGTACGTTCCCCACGCGGTGTGAGCCCGCCCCCCCTACGCGTGTGGATGCCTGCTTTGTCCATTTTGGTGGCCGCTTTGGAGTGCCAAGCTGCAACGGGAGGCCGGTCCGCGCTTCCCGGCTTGCAAAAAACCACCATGGGAACGCCATCGCATATAACGTCCAATTTGGCCCAAGTCCTCGCGCCAAGAGCGATTGAGGTCTCGCCACCGTTCGCGGCGCGCCGGGTTAGTGACCACGACCAGGACGATGTCCCTCCTGTCGGACCTTTCTTTCTTTCGTTCGGCCTACGTCACGGTGACGACGGCCGGCTGGCAATGGCAGTAGTGATGGCCGTCACTGCCTGGACAGCCTCGTCCAGAGCGTTAGCCTCGGCTGTGAAGGAAGAAATAGGATCGCGAAGAAAAGTGCCTCCTGTGATGACCGGGGTGGTCTCTGTGTAGGCACCCTGTCGGACCTCATCGTGTCCAGCATCCGCCAACAAAACCTGCGAGCAGTCGCAATGGCCATGTGGTTGCAGCGCCCGAGCCCGGCAACAGGCTACATGGTGGCGGACATGCCAACGGAAGCGGTCAATGACGCGCAGTCTTTATTTCGAGTGAGACGGCAAACAAGTACTTCTTCCTTTGCGTGCAACCGCTACCAAGAAATTTAGGCACAATCATGCACCGTCTCCCTGCGTGTAGTTGACGACAGGCCAAGTATCAACGCCCTATCCTGAAACCCGCCTCAGCGAAGACGTAGAAACGTATTGTTCGCAATTGTAAGGGATGGGCGGGAATTGTAGGATGTCAGATCTTGCGCGGGGCGCACCTAGCTTGCCTCTCTCCTATCTCCTCCCTCTTTCTCTTCATCCCTCCTGCCCCCTCCTCCCCCTCCCTCCTTCTCCTCCTCCCGCTCCTCCTGCTCCCTCCTTCCTCCTCCCCTCCCTCCTACCTTTTTCCGTTCTCCTTCTTATCTTTCCCCTCCTACCTTCCTCCCCGTTCTTCCTCCTCGTCCTCGTTGTCCTCTTCGTCCTCGTCCTCGTCCTCGTCTTGGTCCGTGTCGTCGTCGTCGTCCTCCTCCTCCTCCTCCTCCTCCTCCTCCGCCCGCTTCCTGTTTTCCGCGGCGTCGTCATCATCTACTCCCCCTTTCCATCTTCGTGCCCCTCCTCAGCTGAACACCACATCTTCTCCCAGGCCCTTTTTTTGATCCGTTAACCTCTTGATCAAATTGGCTCTGAACATCGCCAGGCTGTTGACAACGCCGCCTGCCAGGCGATTCGGGTCGGAGCTGGTGGATGCTCTGCTCGTGTCGACATAGGCGTGAAGCAGGTTCGTCATCAACTCAAGCCTCGTGTCCACCTTCTGCATCCACGCCTCCATGCGTTGCTCGAAATTGGCCTCCTTTCCGGTGACCGTGACCTCGCCATCTGCGGTGTGCAGCAGGATCTTCGGCGTTTGTCGGACCTTAGGAGGAGGAGGAGGAGGAGGAGGAGGAGGAGGAGGAGGAGGAGGAGGAGGAGGAGGAGGAGGAGGAGGAGGAGGAGGAGGAGGAGGAGGAGGAGGGGAGGAGGAGGAGGAGGAGGAGGAGGAGGAGGAGGAGGAGGAGGAGGAGGAGGAGGGGAGGAGGGAGGAGGAGGAGGGAGGAGGAGGAGGAGGAGGAGGAGGAGGAGGAGGACCTTGCGCTGTCTCCTCGTCGACCTCGCGGAGCCTGCCACGCTGCCCTGGTCCGCCGAGCTCCGCGACGTCACCACGCTCGCGATCTCGCTTGCGTCCTCTTCATCCTCCTCCTCCTCCTCCTCCTCCTCCTCACTCCACTCCCCCTCCTCTCCTCCTCTCCTCCTCCTCCTCCCTCTCCTCCTCTCCTCCCTCCTCCTCCTCCCTCCTCCTCCTCCTCCTCCTCCTCCTCCTCCTCCTCCTCTCCCTCATCCTCCTCCTCCTCGGAGGGGGGAGACACGAGAAGCAACAGCTGGCATCAAAGAAGGCAGAGGCGGCATGTGGTTACGGAAATTACGAGAGGGGGGATATGGTCTGTGGAAGCGCTCCCTGCGGCACCCGGTCATACCGCCAAGCTTCGTCCTCATAGTTGGAAACATGTACTGTATCCGCCGAAGGCCCCGAACAGTGGCCTATGGCAGTCTCGATGCGCGGTCTATGTGGTGCGACGTGTTATGTGATGTAAGCATTGTGGTACAGTTATTGCTGTCACAGAGGAGTTGCCAACTCTACGGCTCTCGCAAAGATCCCACCTTCCCACCGGCAACTTGTTTCGCAAAACCCATGCGGCCACGATTCCAGTTGTCGGGTCGAACTAGCTAGCGCACACCTACGGCCGCGCTGGCGCGCGCACGCTCGCACGCAGATCGGCCGGTTGGTCTGGCACAGCTGGTGCGGCCGTATGACAAGCTGCGCTGGCGCGCGGGCGCTTCGGTGACTCGGGCGTGCGCATGATGCCCTTTCCAGTCTCCCTCGCCTCGTTGAGCCGCCGCTGCATTTTGCGCCCGCTGCGCTGCAATCGCCATGTCCGCGGACGGATCCGTTTCCCAACGACGCTCTTCGCACGCGCAACAATCATGCGTGGTTTCCGTGACGGGAAACTGGTGCGGAATCTGCAGATCGCTGTTGAAAATCAAACCTACCGCTCTGCTTAACATCGCTGGGAGGGTGCCGTTGATGTTATCCTCATTCATGGGCCCGTGCAGACAGCCCGTCATGTTCCTCCTGCCTGCCCGCGGCATGTCACGAGCAGACAGGATACCGTGGCACAAATCTGCCGCTGGATCTATCAATCACGACGCGCGGCGGAAGAGCAGTTGCGCTGAATCGTGCCGTCCCTCCCCTGGCGGTCTGCTAACGGTACAATGCGCTGCAAATGCTTGCTGAACTGGTGCACGCGGTTCCGTCTGAATTCCTGGCCCCTCTACACCCGCGCGCCCAGTAGCTCTTGCAACCGCGTTCGGCTGTCCTCAATGACCTGCCCCCCGCCCTCCCGCGCCGGCTGACGCCTCCGTTGGCCTCTCCCGGCCAGCATTGACTGGTCTTCCCGCTCGCTTTGTAATATCCCGCCCGACTGTTTTCCCATGCAGCATGCGTGACCTGGCGCCGTGGCCAAGTACCCTGGCGCCGTGACAAGATCCGCCGTGTCGCTGTGCGCGGGCCACGCTTTCTCCACGTCCGGCTTCCCACTTCCCCACCCATCGACGTCGGCGTGCCCCTGTCGGCGCGCGTTTCCCTGATGCCTCTAACACTCCTCCACCAGTTCCGCCTGGGCTGCCTGCGACAGCAGCGCCGCCTCGCGCGGCGGAGTGCGCCCCGAGCATCCGTCCGCCGTCGTCGCGCTGCTGCCTGGCAAGTCTGCGCGCGCGCCATCTGGGCACCCCGGGCAGTATCGCATGCCCGAGATGCACTCGAACGAAGGGCCCGCGAATGCCCAGGGAGCCGCTCGCGCCTGCTGGCGGGCTCCGAGCCAGAGCTGCTCTGCGCTCGTCCGCCTTGCGGACTACATTCTCCAAGGCCCCTGTCGGCGCTGCCGTCTTGACGTCGTCGTCTCGCCCCTCCGCGCCCGCGTCTGCCTCGTCGCGCTCGTCCTCGCCCCGCGCGTGTTTCGGGGCGGCGCCCCCGTCAGACGCGCCGGCGTGCCCCGTCGACGTCTCCCGCGGCCCGCCGCGCGCTGGCCCGCGTCGCTCACGTGCCGCGCGGAAATTCACGGGGTCCTTTTGCCGCGACCGCGACATTCGCACCGTGGTCATATTGTGCATTTTCGTCTGGTGACGCGATAGAAAACGCATCGCGCTTCGTGGGCGCCTGCGCTTCGTGGGCGCCCGCGCCTCGTTCACCCTCTTTATCGCGCGGGCAACGGCGCTCGCCCCGCCGCCGCGCGTTTCGCCCGTGGGTCGAGCGACGGCGCGTGTTTCGACATGGGGAAATCACCCAGTGAAGGAATCCTAGCGCGCGCCGTGCGAGGCTTCGCAAGTGCTTCCCGGCCCCCCCCCCCCCTGCGATCGCTGGCGCTCAGTCCCCCCATGTCTCCGACAGCGCGCCAAGACGCCAGGCGCGCTGGGCGGGCCGTGGAAACGAGACAGGCGACTGCGCAAATCCAAACCGCACTCGCGTCAAAACTGCGACTCTACGAGACGCGTTATGATGCGCGCCCGCGCGGCGAGTTCTACGCGGTGCGCAGCTGGCCCACGCCGATGGCGCGCATTCTCCGCCCACCCAGGCATGTCCAGCATTCTCGATGCGCACTTGATGCAGAAACACAGAAGAATAACATCCGAAGAGCCACTCCGAGAAGCCCTGGCCCAAATTGGTTCATCGCGTTTTCGGCCGGCATACATGACCTGCAGGGTGCGCGAGGGGTCCATCTCCATCAGCTCCCACAGCCAGAACTGCGCCCTTTCCAGATCCATGCTCGCCGCTCTGTCGGCCGCCCAGCTGGCCCTCGCCGCCGCGCGCTCGTCTCCGCCCCCGCCGCGCGGGCGTTCGGGCATCTCGCGCCTCGCCAGCCGCGCTCCTGCGAGCCGCAAGGCAGACCTCTCCGTCTCGCTCGCCACTTCGGCCGCCTCGCCGCTTGTTGCCGCGCTCCGATCTGCGCCCTCGCTGTGTGCGCGCGAAGTGCATGACAGATGCCCCAGCGCGCATTCCCGCACTTTGTTCGCGTCCGTCGACGACTTCTCCAGCGTGGCGGCATTCGGCGCTCGCCATGCATGTCGCGCGCGGCCGCGTTAGCGGAGCCTCGCGCCCCGTCGCGCGGCGTCGCCTGCTTCTGCGCCGTGAACTTGTCCAGCGTCGCGTCGTGCGGTGGCCGCCGGGCGATTTCAGGCGGCGCGCCATCAGTGGGCCTCTTTTCGGGTTTCCGCCCCATCGTATCCGAGTCGACGTCTGCATGTGTTTAGTGGTGGCGCTGCTTCATCATCTCGACGTGGCGTCTGGCGACCCCTCGCCGCACGGTCGCCCAGTGAACGAAACAAGCGAGATTGCACTTCGTCGTGGCGTCGTGAATTTCCAGCAAGGATCTGGGCGACAGCCCCCGATTTCGTGCCGGAGCGAGGCGCCGCGGACTCGCCCCCTGGCCGCGGTGGCGCGGAGCTCGCCACGGTTCCCCGCGCGGCCAGTCGTCCGTCGTGGAAGCCCGCCACGCTGCCAAATCACGTCTTTTTCCTTGTCGGACCCTTCTCTCCGCCCTGGAACTGCACTTCCAACGAACAACCCACCGTTAACGTAATGCAGGGGCCGCAGCATATCATCTCCATCGCTGCGTGCTCGTGCGCGTGCGATCTGGCGCATGGAACGCTATCAAGTCATTTGCCAGACTACGTCGGGTGACCGTCGGAACTGCTTCCGCTCGCCACCCCTCGAGCAGCCCGCGCCCAACTTGCGCGCCGCCGCCGCCCTCTCCGCGCGCCCCCAGCTGCGCGACTGATCTCCTGGGCAGCGTAAAACTTGCGTGTCGCCGCTTGCCGCCGGGTCTGTGACGAACCAATCGTCGAAGTCTTTCCTCCCCAGTGCATCTTTCCCGAGGTCAATCGCGGCGTTGCCGGGCTCGGGCTGGTATTCTCGCGCTTCGACGCTGAAGCGCGCCTTCGTCTCCGACGTGCTCCATCCACCGAAGTCATTCTTTGCCGCTGGATCCCTCGCGGCCGATTTGAAAGCGCCTGCGGGGAAATTGGTTTCCGCGTCTGCCACTTGCCCATGGGAATGCGCGCGCGACGCCAATCGGATGCGCGATTTGTTTCCGCTCCGTTGCTCTGGCGTGCAGTTTCGAACCCCGCCCGCGCAGCGAATGCGCCGACGGCGGCGCCCCGGCCCGAATGGCGCGCGCAAGCTTGCTGCGACCCCGCGACGCGCAACCGCGACGCGGAGCGTCGTGTCCGCGCCAAACGGAAGCGCTGGCAGCGCCACTTCATGGCGCTCCTCGAACGCGCGTTCGCGCGATTCGTCGTCGTCTTCCGACCGCCAGGTGCCCCCCGCGAGCGCGAGGCGCGCTGTCGGCAGTTGGGCGCCCGTGTTCCCCGCCAGCGCCCCTGACCACGGTTGCGCGGGGTCTCGCGGGTCCGCGGGCGCAGCCGGGCGGCGTCGCGCGCTCGCGGCAGCAGCCGCCGCCGCTCCCGAGCCCCGTGCGGATCCGACGCAGCGTCAAACCTTACCTGATTGAAAGCATCCTGCATGGCGCCCGCCGCGGGAGCGCTGTCATCGCGCCCTCCCGCGTCGCCTGCCGTTGTTCGCGCGCCAGCGGGTGGTTCCTCTGCGATCTCCATGGCCGCGCCAGACCCGCGTTCTCCCTCCGTGCCAGACATTGTTATTATTCCTGCTTTCCTGCGCCGAGTATGGCGCTCTCTGCCCCCGTGCCCCCCCTTTCCCCGCGCGCGCTCGCCGCGCTGGCGCTCGCTCCAATCGCGCCTGTTTCGCCTGCCGCGCCCCCGCTGACGCGCCCTGCCCCGTCGCTGCGCCCCCCGCCGCTCGACGCGGCAGCCGGCGCCTTCTAGCGCGACGTGCGGCCTTTCGCGCCGCCGCCCATTCTGTCCCCATCCGCCCGTGGCGCGCTTCGGCATCGCCTTGTGCTGCAATTGACGGCGCTGGCGCGAGGCTCGGCCTGGGCCGCCCCTGGTCGAACTCTCGCGTGTGCCGGCGCCCGGGCATCCTCGCGGGGCCCCGCCAGTGACGGCGGGCGCCTCCCTCTGTCAAGCCACCTGTCGTCGCGTCTCTCCCCTCGCGGATCTTCGGCGGCGCGCCGCGGCCCCCCCTCGGCGCCGGCGCTCGCCCCGCCGGCGCCCTG